GGGTGGAAAGAAGCAGAAAACAGTATTACTAAAAGAACTTACTTAATTTTAAAAGAATTAAATATCTAAATTTGATTTGACAACTAATAACTCCAGGTTGAAATTTACTGTGGAGTGTTTGACCTGTATTGTTCTGCTTAGACTTAATTAACTTAGAGTTCACCATTCCCCAAATTTGATTACTTGGGAGCTCTCACTCTTATAGTTAAAAGACAAGGGTTGGATACAACACTCTCCAGAGAATTTTCTTAAGTATTTGGCTGCCTAAAGTTATTTTTAGGGGTGAGAATAAATGGTATGTTTAAATAAAGCAACAGTAAATGCTGGGTGCAGTGGTGCATGCCTTTAATCCCAGCACTCCAGAGGCAAAAGCAGAGGATCTCTTTGAATTCAAGGCCAGCCTGATCTACATACATAGTGAGTTCCAGGTCAGTTGGGGCTACAGGAGACCCTATCTCAAAAAGACCAAAATAAATAAATTAATTAACTGATTGATTCAAGCAAGCAAGCAAGCAAGCAACAGACCCTTAATGAATCAGCTATCCAGTCCCATTCATTGATCCAGCAAACATTTAGTGATCGAATCATTACCTTTGTCACTATCAAGTATTAGATATTGTTGACTAAAAGACTGCTACTGAATACCCGTAATAGAAGCGGGAAAATGAGAACACAGTAGGATCAGAGATAAACACCCAGGGGGTAAAAGAAACAGACCAACTGACCGTTAGGAGTTATGGGGAAAGCAGCTAGCTACAGGTGTGAGGCTTGTAGCAAGAGCAAGGTGTCAAGACGGGAAGGAGAGGCTGGCACTGCACAGTACTCTGCAGGAGCTTCCGTTACGGAAGCTCTTTTGCTTAGTAATTTTCAAAGATACAAACAGCTACACAAACAGATCACATGTGTCTGTGAATGGCCATCCACAGCCATGTGCACATATCCCTGCTGGCACCCTGGGTAGGAGCACAGCCAGAGCAGGCAGCTTGAAGAGGGAGGCCAGAAGAGCAGGGAGGGGCCTCATGCTGCTGCTGAAAAGAACTGGGTAAAATACACCTTACCTGGGCTGGGCACGGTGGCACACGCCTTTAGTCCTAGCACCCAGGAGGCAGAGGCATGTGGATCTCTGTGAGTTCAAGGCCAGCCTGGTCTACATAGGGAGTTCCAGGTCAGCTGGGGCTATAGGGAGACCCTGCCTCAAAAAGACCAAAACAAACAAACAAACAAACAAAACCCACCTTACCCTAGCCCAAGACTATCTGGGATAAAGGCATCCGTTTTTGAGTATGCATCACTTTGGGGAAGAAAATATACTTTTAAAACAACACTAGAATATTAATCTGAGATAATTTAAAATTGCAGATTATAAAAGGCAATTAAAATTAATTAGCCTTAAACCAAGATGTATTATGCTAAAAAGATTTTTTAAATGAATAAAAGGAATGTTTTAGAAGATGTGCTGGACAGCTTCATTTGTCACCTTGATACACCCAGAAGAGGGAACCCCAACTGTAGAATTTCTTTTATCAGACTGGCCTTGAGCTCCTGTCCTGGTTTCCCCTGTTGAAGGACTGTACTGAAAGTTGAAATAAACCCTTTCTTCCCCAAGTTAGTTTTGGTCATGGTGTTTGTCAACAGAAAGTAAACTAGGATAGAAGACTTTAAAATTTAGTATTTTATCAAACTAGGTTTGAAGCTTCCAAAATTCATACATAAATTGATTATGATACTAATAAAACTTTCAATAGGATGGAGAAGTGGGGTTTAGAACAGTCTATCTGAGAATACCAAACACAGCTAAGAGGAAATTAAAAGAAAATGAATGGGAAATGAGTCTAGGTTAAAAAGCCACAGTGACTGTCACTGTGTGATGCTGCCACAGGAACAGAGTAAGAGCGAAGATGCCATGTACGCGGGAATCTAGCAACCCTCTCAGCAACGACCTTGTCAATAAACAAATGGAGCTAGAACAAGTGGCATGCCTTCTGGAAAGAGGTCCGCTTGGTCCCCAACTCACTCCTTATATCTAATTTTCAGACACATAAGGGGCTGGCAAACTTTCTGTGAAGCACCAGTCAGTAAATACTTTAGGCTCTGGGGATCACAAGGTTTCTGTCACAAGCACCCATACCTTGCCATGGTAGTACCAGGGTGTGACTATGGTCCAATATAATGTCACTCCGACAGACATGGAAACTTGAATTTCAAACATATTTTAAAAAATTTAATATACACTCATGTGCACACACTGCATACAGAAATTTAATCTGTACATTATGAAATGTTATTGTCTGATATTCAAAACCTATTTAAAATGTATCTCATCACCTCACAAAATAGGTGGTTGCCAGATTTTGCTGGGACACAGAAGTTTGTTGATCTCCATGATACAACAAAGATTAAAAAATTAGAAAGGGAGGCTAGAGAAATGGCTCGGCAGTTAAGAGCACTGACTGCTCTTCTAGAGGACCTGGGTTTGATTTCCAGCATCCACATGGTGGCTAACAACCATCCATAACTCCAGTCCCAGGGGATCAGACACCCTCTTCTGGCCTCTGTGGGCTTTGCATGACATAGGTGTACTTACATATATGCAGGCAGTATACTCATACACATAAAATAAAAGTAACAAGTATTTTAAAAATATAATATAAAATATACTAATAAATAATAAATATATAAATAAAGTATAATCATAAATATTTTTTAAAAACTACAAAGGGGGTGAGGAGATAGCTTAGTAGGTAAAGGGCTTGCTGTACAAGCATGGGTACATGAGTTGGGATCTCCAGCACCACATAAAAAAGCCAGGCATGGCAGCACATACTTGTAACCCTAGTGTTTGAGTGAGGAGAAAGACAGGTGGATCCTGTGGCTTGGTAGTCATCCATTCTAACTGAAATATCAAGCTCCAGGTTCAGTGAGACCCTGTCTCAAAAGAAAAAAAAAAAAAAAAAAAAGGTAGAAAGCGATAGAGGAAGATATCAAAAGTCAACTTCTAGCCTCCATATTCAACATGCACAGGAAGTGCACCTGCACACGTGTGGCACAGAAACATGTACATACACATGCATCACACATGTAAAATATTAAAAAAATAAAAGTAGAAGAAGTTAAGCTTAAGTAGTAATATAACCTTAGAATAGGAAAGTCTTTCTGAATCATGATATCTTGAAAACACATAAGTCATTAAAAAATAAAACTGATGATCTAAAAATGTTTTTCAAGACAAAAACAAATGACCATTAAATTTTTTAAGAGGCAAGGAGTAAAGACAACTGGAAAACATGTGCAGCGGACACAAGGGTCAGCCCCAACCATACACTGCATGGCAGCCACCACATACAAGTGGCTGTTGAGCAAAACGTGAGTAGTCCAAACTGAGGTGTGCTGTAAGTGTAAGATGAATATCGGACTTCAAAGCCCTCATATGAAAGCAAAAGGTAAAACTCTTATTAGCAATGTTTTATCATCTATTACATGCTGAAGTAATTTGTAAATACAACAAATTGAATAAAATATTAAAATTAATTTCATCTGCTCCTTCTTACTGGCGTGGCTGCTAAAAACCTGAAATTATTCTGTTGGATAATGATGTCCCAATCAAAGTATGAGGAACCCTGGGCTCAATTAGAAAGGACTAACTTGGGGCTGCCATGATGGCTCAATGGTCAAGTGCTTGCCACTAAGCCTGGCACCCTGAGCTTTATCCACGGAACCCACAGTAGAAGGAGGGAACCAACTTCACAGGTTGTCCTTTGATCTCCACTGCACATGTGATTTTACACACACACACACACACACGCACGCACGCACGCACGCACACACACACGCATGCACGCACAGAGAAATAAAGTTTTTAAGAAAGGACTAACAAAAAAGAACAAGGTATACACAAATATGCAATTTACAGTTCTTTTCTGAAGAGGAATTGGTGAAGAGATTTAACTTCAACAGCCAAAATGAAGCAGCAAATGAATACAGGCTGTTGCCTACGTGGCTGCAACTATTAGGATTAACCTGGAGATATTCCATCTCCACAGAATAACCTGGTTTTTAAAGAAAGGGTTAATTATTAGTCTTTTTGGTGTGTTTCAACAGAGGGAGGGCTGGTTATATTTTCCCATTTTTCTATACATTTCCATATACTGTCTATTTTTGTGCTGTGTTTTTAAAAATAACATGTTGAACATCTTTTCTATTGTTTTATGTTTTCCTCTTTATTGTGATTGCTTAGTATTTCACTGACAGATATACTATAATTCATTTAATTCTTTGTTATTGCACACATTTAGGTCATTTGTAGTGTTTTGTTATACAAAACTGTACCTCACTTTACATTTTCAATATAAAAACACTTCTACACTTGAAATACCCATACCCCAGACAGTTTTAGAAACAGGGAAGAATAGAAAGGCCTGTTCTCTAACTTCAGTTTTTTGTACTGGAAATTCCTTTTATATTGACTTCACGTGAACTTTCATAATAAAGAAAAATATTTCCTGATTCACAACTGATACTGACATTTTTATTTCCAGAGAACTCATCAAGGACAGTCATCAACTTTAATATTTTGGTACTGGAAATTCCTTTGACTTCACGTGAACTTTCATAATAAAGAAAAATATTTCCTGATTCACAACTGATACTGACATTTTTATTTCCAGAGAACTCATCAAGGACAGTCATCAACTTTAATATTTTGGTATTTCTAAAATATTTAACCATTTATAAAATACAAGAGTAAGAATCACTCTTATGATCATTACATGAGAATAAAGGAGATCTTGATAATTAAGATTCAGAATAAAAGATGGCTCAGCACTTAGGACGACACAAGTTTGGTTCCCAGCACCCAGGTCTGGAGGCTCACAACTGCCTCTAACTCCAGCTCCAGGGGAGCCAATGTCCCTGTCTTCCGGGAGCACCTGCACCCATATGCACATACCCACACATATATACATGATTAAAAACGAAAATTTTAAAGATTAAAAACAACAAGCCTTTCTCTCAATTTCATCCTCCAGCCTGCGTAGTTCCATTTCCCGCCGGTCCTGCTGAAGCTTCAGAAGGTGCCTTCTAGAAGCATCCTGTAAGTTTATCTCCTTTATTTTCAGCTCTCTCTTCACAGCAGCCAGCCTTAAGAACAAAGGATGTCAAGAGGAACAAATAAAGCATTTTCCAACAGATTTAATTTTTTTTCACAATAGCTGCCTGCTACCTATTTTGATCCATTTTGTCAGTTTAACTGTTTACCATGTATAAACCAAGGATGCCCATTACAAGTCAGAATTCAAGAGGAGGACAAGTGGTCACATGTAACTGGCTAGCCTTTCATACTTAAACTTCTCACAGGTCCATCTGTCAGGTAATTCCCCAGTGCTGGGGATGGAATTCAGGAGCCTCTTGCATGCTAGGCAAGTGCTCTAAAACTGAGCCGCCTCAAAGCCCTGTCAGATCATCTCAGTACAAGCGATCTTCTTTATTTGTAGGAAGAATGCTGAGACACTATTTCAGTAGCTCACATGTGACGTCTACCTCTTTTACAATTTTAGTGGACGGTTAATGGCTCAGTTCTGTGCTTGCTTTTAACCAGTCCTGGGAGTCTGTTTTATAGTTTCACCCAAGGATAAGATGGTAAACACTGATAGAAGTCAGTTTCGCTGAAGACACATGGTGGTAATCCCAGTACTAAGGAGGTTCAGTCAAGAGAATTTTGAGTTCAAGGTTAGCCTGGGCCATATAGTGAGAACCTGTCTCAAAACAGGTGAGTTTCCCAATATTAGGCTTACTTTAACTGCTTAGCTCATAATTTAAATATTTTCCATATTGCCTGGCTTGGTAGTATACTTCCCAGCACTTGGGAGGCAGAACAGGTGGATGAATTTCTACAAATTTGAGTTTGAGGCCAGTTAGGTCTACATAGCGAGTCTCTGATCTCGCTAATAGTGAGACTTTGTCTCAAAAAACCAACAAACAAAATAATCTACATTAACATATTTTTGAATAAGCATTCAGTAATTCCCTCCCTTGTCTGCCAAAGTACTAAATGTAATAAGGAGATAATTGCTTTATATTTAAAACACTTTTTAAAAATTATACTCTATTACAAAGCATTTCTGCCTACTACAGAATGAATTTTTTTTTCCTTTTTCTTTCTTTCTGAGAAACGGTCTCATTCTGTAGCCCAGGTTGGTCTGGAACTCCACCATGAATCCAGGGCAGCCCTGAACTCATGGCAATCCTTCTGCCTCAGAGGGTGCTTGTATTACAGGCATGAATCATGCCTGGTTTAGAATGCGTATTTCTAAATAATTCAAAGTTCATTAGAGGTCACATCATTTCTGAAAAATCATGCTAAGTTATTATATCAGTACTGCTTTAGAATCAATTTTACTACACACTAGTTTTTGTTTTTTTTTTAATGTGTATGAGTGTATTGCCTGAATGTATATAAGTGCATCCATGTTAAACAGTGCCTGCAGAGGTCAGAAGAGGGCATTGGATCCCTTGGAATTGGAGTTACAGATAGTTGTTAGCCTCCATGTAGATGCTAGGATTTGAACCCAGCTCCCCTGCAAGAGCAGCCAGTACTCTTAACCATTGAGCCATCTCTCCAGCCCCTATACACCAGTTTTTTGAAAAGTGACAGAGTCTTTTTATTAACCTGAATGTTTCCTTAATGGAACCGTAAGCTGAGTAATTCTATGCATAGTGTTCTTAAATATGAAAAGGAGGGAAGCTAAGTTGCCCATCCTGTTCTGGGTGCTTTCAAGACAACGCAGAGTACCTCTGTTTCTGCTGCAGCATCTTCTCCTCTTGCAAGAGCATTTCTCTTCTCGTCTCCTCAGCTCTGCGAAGCAGCTCCTGTCTCTTGTACCAGGCCTCGTCCTCTGCTCGCTGCTCGACTTCAGCTTGCATGTTTTCAACTGTCTGCCTTAAGTAGAGAATATTTACTATCATGAAAATGCAAACAAGAAGGTGAAGTTTCATTGAAAACAATATAGATACAAATATAGAACTTGATTAAAGTATAGTACAGGGTTTTATTTCCACATGTAGGAGTTAAATATCTTTTAAAGACATCTCTAGCTTTCAAACTTTGATTTTATACAAATACATCAGAATTCAAATAGATTTTTCATTAAAAACTTTCTTATTTATAACATCTTTTTTGTTCAAGAATATGCTATGGTTACCTCTCTCTCAAGAAATCCAATTCATCATTCCTTCTTTCTCGTTCCTGTGTCTGATAGTCCACAATAAACTTTGGATATTGATTAAATACCGGATATTGCCCCTTTGTCAGTGCAACGAAAGCATCCAGTACGCTACTTGGGTGAATACTAGCAGGTGTGGTCTCCATGAGACGATACGCTTCTCTAATCACAACATTTATGTCCAGGTTATTCCGATGGTGAAAAAAATACTGCAAAAAAACTTGATGTTTAAATCAAGATTTACCTAGCAAACCAATTATGAGGCAAAATTCAAACATGAGTTCAAAATTCAAAGCTTTTGTTTTTGAGAAAGAAATTCATTACATAGCTCAAATTGATTTGGAATTCACTACATAGCCCAGGTTGGCCTCAGCCTTCCTACTTGCTGAGATTAAAAGCCTGCACCTACCTCATTGGCCTATTAAGTACTGGGATTATATGCTACTGTGTGTGTGTGTGTGTGTGTGTGTGTGTGTGTGTGTGTTACTGGGGACTGAGTCCACGGTCTTGTGCACACTAGGCAAGCACTATACTATGAGCTCTCTGAAGCTTTCTGTGTATATGTGTATGTGTGGCACTCATACCTGGTATAGTCATATCTTGTACGTGGAATATGCAAGCATGCATGCATGCATACGTGTGTGGAGCCAGAGAAGGGAGCTCAGTGTTTTCCTCAGTTGCTGTCTACCTTATTCCCTTGAGACTCTTCTTCTATTACTCTCCGCCCTATTCCCTTGAGCTGGGTCTCTTCTTGAACCTGGAACTTACTGGGCTCCCCGCCTAGGCTGGCTGGATACACCTGTCTCCACTCATCCCCACTAGCACTGGGATTACTGGCACATGTGTCCAAGGCCTGGTATTTTACATGGTACTGGGGATCCAAACTCTGGTTCTCCAGCCTCTCTTAACCCAAGTTTGAAAATATTCAATTTCATATTCTGAAAATGTATAAGATGTCACAATCATTCTGTGAAAATTTGAAATTAACCTTTTTTATATTGTAACACAACATGGAGGTTTCCATACAAGAGAAATAGTGTACTTCAACAGTGGAGCAACCATTTTTGCTTCGATTCTTTTTATTATTGAAACTACAAAATAAACAATTTTTTTTTTTGGTCTTTTTGAGACAGGGTCTCTGTGTAGCCCCACCTGACCTGGAACTCACTATGTAGACCAGACTGGCCTTGAACTCACAGAGATCTGCCTGCCTCTGCTGGGACTAAAGGCATGGCTAAAATAAACAAATTTTATATAAAAATAATTTTATTTACCTTGATTACTTAAAGGCATCTGAAATGGTTCCACATTATCTTGTTTTGGCAGACCAAATTTCTAGAATATATGTGTATCTTATAACTAAGTTATATAACTAAGGTTATATTATATCTTATATAATTTTTGTCAACTTGACACAAGCTAGAGACACCTGGGAAGAGAGAACCTCAGCTTAGGAATTTTTGCTAAAGGACTGGCCTCTGGCCAGGACTGTGAGGCATTTTCTTGATTGGTAATTGGTGCAGGAGGACCCAGCCCACTGTGGGCAGTGCCACAGGAGGGCATGGGCTGTATAAGGAGGGTAGCTGAGGAAGTTAGGGGAGCAAGCCAGTAAGCAGCGTTCCTCCACGGTCTCTGCTTCAGCTTTTGCCACCAGGTTCTTGCCTTGAGCTCCTGGCCTACTGTTCCTCAGTGATGGATTGTCACTTCACAGTGTACGATGCAATAAATCCTTTCCTTCCCAAGTTGTTTTTAGTTAGTGTTTTATCAGAGCAATAGAAAGCAAACCAAAACATACCCACAGAGTAAAAACAAAGCTTAACAGGAATCACAAAAGAAATCATATACCCCCAGTCTCCAACTAATCATCCTGTCCATCTCAAGAGTTGCTGTTAAAGCTACCTCTAATGCTTTAGTTTTCTTTCAGTCACTTTGCTGCCAAGTCTCAAAACTTCTACCAGGCTGGGCCTGGTGGCACACACCTATAATCCCACCAGTTGAGAGGCTAAGATAGGAGGATTGCCATGAGTTTAAGACCAGACATCTGGTCTCAAAAATTCAAAACCAGTCAAGCAAGTAAAACTCTTCACCACCATTCTGCACACACACTAAACTTCTAGACTACTGCAGACCAGATGGGCCACTAATAAGATCACACACAGAATAAACAACTACCAAGTGTTCAACATTCTTTTTTTGTTGTTGTTGAGACAGACTCTGCCTGTAGCCCAGCTGGCCTCACTATGAAGACCAGGCTGGTCTGGATCTCACAGAGATCCTCCTGTGTCTGCCTTGAGTGTTGGGATTAGATGTGTGTACTACCATGCCTGGCTTTTGTTTAACATTCTTTACAAAGGCAAGAAAGCGGAGGCCCCCAACATGATGATTCTTTTCTGACACTGTTAGACTGACAGCCTGTTTGTCTATAAACTACAGAAGGTCAGGGATGTAGTCCAACTTGCTATCTATATTTCTACCACATAGCATCATTGCCTAACCTATAGTAGGTATTCAATCAACAAATGTTTTTAATTAAAAAAACAAAAATTTAGCCTAGCATGGTGGCACCTTTAATCTCCACACTCAGGAGGCAGAGGCACGTGGATCTCTGTAAGACTGAGGTCAACCTGATCTACGTAATGAGTTTCAGGCCAGCTGGGGCTACAGAGAGACCCTGTCTCAACAAAACAAAACAAAACAAAATAAAACAAAACAAAGGCACTATAATGTGAGAACTTCCAGGTGCTTCTTTTGGGGGGGGGTTCTGGGTATGGAACCCAGGGCCTCATACATGCAAGGTAAGCACTCTACCACTGACTATACTCCCAGCCAGAGAACATTCTCTTATGAAGGGGCATTTACCTCAAAATCATCCTTAAGAGTACAGTTGAGCAGAGGTGCTCTACAGCATGTATTATAGGCTACCACAGTCATCAGGAGGAAAGAAGGGTGGTTGGAGAAGACATTATCAAACAATCTGAGCCACTCCTCTCTCGTCAGTACTTCGGAGAACACAGTTTCAAGAAGAGGCCATGCATAAAGCTAAAACAAACAGGGAACGACTTACTGGTTTTCTAAGTAAAAGTAAAAACAGTCATCGAGAATATTCTCTTTTAAGCTATGCAATAACTATATCAAGCACATAATTATGAAAAGAACTACTTTAATTTGGACAGCCCCCTGACACCGCCCTCACCCAGAGATCAAACCAGGGTCTCATGCCCACTAGACAAGTGTTCCACCATGGAACTATATCCTCAGCTCCTATATAGACTCTTTATAGACTTTCAGGAAGATGATTTAGTAAGAAAAAAAAAACAACAGAATAGTGTGTTGGCAAGATGGCTCAGTGGGTGAAGGCGCTTGCTACCAAGTATGATGACCTGAATTTGATCCCTGCACATGTGCATGCCCACAAACATGTATTCTCTCTCTTTCTCTCTCTCTAAATGAATTTAGTTCCCCCCAAAATTTAAATTTACAAATGTGAGAAATACTGTTTCATCCATAATACCAGAATCATGTTACCTCTCAAAGAAAAACATCTTTCTAAAACCTTCAATTTCTTACCTGAGAAGTTACATCACGATCTATAAAGTGCTGCAGTAGCTCCTTGTCATGAAATGCCAAAACATTTTCTATCATGCTAAGAATATTGATGGGTGGGTTAGGAAAGTACTCAAACCAATGTTGACACCAATTGACTACACAGGAAAAACAGAAAGCAGAAAATTTATCTTTAACTACTTTTCTGTGTTATCAAAAGATTCTCTTTTTTTCTTGAGACAATCTCACATATAGCCCAGAGTAGTCTCAACTTCTGACTCTCCTACCTTAGCTTACCTACTGCTTCCAATTATAGGCAACTACATTGGTTTTTTTGTTTTGCTTTGTTTTTTTTTTTTAGTCTTTAGTAATGGGAATTAGACATAGGGGTTTGAACATGCTAGGCAATGCCAACACTGAGCTACATCCTCAGCCTAATTAACTGATTGATTAAAATAATTAATTAATTTGTAGGTTCTAAGGTAGGCCTTGAACTTGTGATCCTCCTGCCTCAGCCATCTTTTTGGTTCTCAATATGCTGAGGAATAAAAACAAGATAATGCCACTCTTTAATTTCTAGAACATGAGGCTTAAAAACTCCATTGTGCTAATATTATAGAAAATGTGCCAATTTCTTCAGAGCAATCATTAAAAATGCATCAACACACACACACACACACACACACACACTCACACACACATTTCCGAAGCATTCCTGATCCAATTTATTGGACCGTCTGGCTCCTGCTGACTCCTGTATTTTCAAGATCCTGATTAACAAAAGATTTAGAAAAGTTTCTTATGTGTGACAATCTTGATTGTCAACCTGACAGACTGAGAATCATCTAGGAGACAAACTTCTGGGCAGACCTCTGAGGACATTTCAGAGGTTTAGATGGGGTGAGAAGAGCCACCATGAAGAGGGGTGGCACCATCCCACAGTCTGGGATCCTAGGGTGAATAAAAGGGAAAGTGAGCTGAGCACCAGCCTTCATCTCTCTCTGCTTCCTGACTGTGGAAATGTGACCAGCTGCCTCCAGTTCCTGCTGCCATGACCTCCCCATGATGGGCTGCACCCTCAAACTGAAGCGCAAATAGATACTTCCTTCCTTAAGTTGCCTTTGCCAGGTATTTTGTCATGGCTGCAAAAAAAGCTGTGTATTTCTTGATGCTAAGACCTCTCTTTTTTAAATCAAGTTGTTTTTTTTTAATTTTATTATTTTTATGTGTATGAGTGTATTGTCTGCATGTATGTAAGTACACCTGTGCGGTGCAATGCCGCGGAGGTCAGAAGAGGGCTTTGGATTCCCTTGGACCTGGAGTTAAGGATGGTTCGTAGCTGCCATGTGGGCACTGGGAATTGAACCCAGGTCCTCTGCAAGAGCAGTCAGTGCTCTTAACCACTGAGCCATCTCTCTAGCCCCATAAGACCTCTTTTATTTCAAACTAGCAAAGGAAGCTTTCATTAGTAGAGTATTATATAATTTATAAGGGCTTCCCAATTCTGGAATTCCATTATTTCATGTATTACTGTACATTTAAATTTGTGCTAATAATTAGGCCATAAGTAAAATTTTACAATGATTTCAACTTCTTTCAATGCTGTTGAAATAATGACTCACTTTCCAGTCTAGCTGGGGATGGTGGGTAGAAACACGAAGACAGGGAGCAGAATGGGGTCTGCCTGCCTGCGTCAAACATTGTTCTGCCCTGACCTTGGAATTTATATTCTTTGTGCCTCGGTCTCATGTGTGCAAAGGCAACAATACCACCTCCTTCACATGGTGTTATGAAGTTCAAATGAGGGAACAGAAGTAAAACACTGAAACAATACCTGGTAAAAATGCTCAGTTACTCCGAGGAGATGAGGATAGCAGCCAATGCTTGTGCACTGAACAAAGGGACGGGCGCAAAGGCCTTTCCATGCTGACACAATTCTATGACAAGTCACTGACTTCCACTAAGAGAATAATCTTCTTCTTTTTTTTTGTCTTTTTGAGACAGGGTCTCCTTGTAGCCCCAGCTGTCCTGGAACTCACTATGTAGACCAAGCTGGCCTCAAACTCACAGAGATTGGCCTGCGTCTGCCTCCTGAGTGTTGGGATTAAAGGCGTGTGCCACCACGCCCGGCCAATCTTCTTTCTTATCAACCAAATCCAGTCCATAACATTGTCTAGAACTTGTCCCTTCTAAAATTTAACTATCCAAATTTTCTTGTAAATAAGAAGGTTTAAATTGTAAGTGCCTGAAATGTCTACTTTTTGCTCTAAACTTGACGGTTTCACACCTTCTTCACTTAAAGGTAGAGAAATCTAGATTTCTTAAACATTGCAAAGGTGAGACACATCAGAAAACACATAAGAACCCATTCTTAGTTTCATCTGTGATATTGGATCACGTACTTATGAGAGTAGCAACAACCTCAAAACAGATGAGTTGGTTGTTCTGGAATAATTTCACAAACGGAAATGCCAGGAGTGGAAGATATGGTGTGTCACTTAAGACTGAAGACCAGTGAGCTAATGCGGAGAGGGTCCTGGAAATAAACAAGGAAATAAAGACCAGAACGTGGCAGCATTATCAAAATATATTTGAGTAAATCATTCATTCACATGATTAAAAAAAATCAATACAGAAGGGTGTATTTGGTGGACACTGTTCCTCTTATTCCCATCATCTCAGAAGCAATTACTACTGAATGTATAAATCCCCTTTTCTTTTCTTTTTTTTCTTTTCTTTTCCTTTTCTTTTGAGACAGGGTCTCCCTGTAGCCCCAGCTGTCCTGGAACTCACTATGTAGACCATGTATATGTAGACTATGTATTTTGTTTTTTGAACAACCCAACATACCACATAAGGATAATCAAAGTTGACCAAACACTATTCTATAGAGAGGGTCTGAGAACATTGTAATTATGAGTTACATGTCTACATGAGCTGCTGCAGTACGCTGAACATACCTCTGTAACACTCTCAGGAGTTTCCTACTTTTGATGGGGTATTTCTTCTGAAGGCTGAGATGCGCCACATGAGTCCCCTTATCCACTAGGCTGCTAAATGCAGTATGATTTTCAGGTAGTTGTAGCAAAGAGCGCCAAATAAACATTCTGAAATTGAAATAAAATTTTACATAGAAACCTTTTTTTAAAAAATGCAAAACTGACTTCGTATGAAAGAATTTGTTTTACCTGTATTTTGTTGGATATTCCCCATAACTTTTTAATAAGATTTGTAAACGTTTTTTGTTTAATCCCTCTGACAATTCATTCTATAAAAAGAGTAAATCAGTAAGTGACAATTATGCAACTGAAAATAGTAATGTAGTCAACAGCATCTCAACTTTAGAATACAACACAGATGACTAGCAGGGTGGCACATGCCTGTAATCCCAGCACTTAGGAGAATGGGGCTGGAGGATCATGGGTTTGAAGCCAGCGTGGGCTGTACCGTGAGACCCTGCGTCAGACAATAACAGAGCAGAGCACAACACAACACACAGGAAGAAATATCATTTATGTCTCACGAAATTCATTCCATAGTGCCCTCCTTAGTTTAGAGTTTGGCAAACTTTTTTGGGGGAAATGGTTGTCAGTAAACAGTTCATCTTCAGTGAGGGGCAGAATGAAAGACACGATGTAGATATTTACAAATCCATTTAAAGAGTAACCATTTCAAATGTGAAGACTGTTTTTGGCTTGCTTAGCTGGACTGGAAGTACTGGCCACCATCTGTCAGCCCCTGCATCAAGGGCAATGTATGCTGATGCTCTTCCCCCACATTTTCCTAATTCTGGAAGCTAGTCCAGTTTAGGGCAATGTGGCCCCTGAAAGTGACTGTTCTCATCAAGATGCCCGTTACACCAGAAGCCTCTTTGTAAACACAAGACAGAATACTCTTGGGAGTCTGCCCTGAATTTGACCCATTCTGGTCTTGACCATGAACTAATGAAGTTCCCACTTAGCTTCCGATTGAAGCTAAGCATACACACTTCACCCACAGAAGTGTTCTACTTTAACATATTCCTTCCCTACAGCAGCCCCATTCCTTAACTTTCTGTAGAATACTGAGATTCAATCCATGCTAGATAGCTTCTAGAAACCATGACTGTGATGCGCCTTTTACTATAAGCTCTGGGAAAAGCTGAGGCCAGCTCCCATTCACCTTTCCATCAGAAACTCACTGAACAAGAGCAACACTGGCCCCATCTTTACACAGCTTAAGTCTGTGCTTGCTATTTTTTTTTAAATATTTCATTTATTATTTTTTATGTGTATGAGTGTGTTGCCTGCGTTTATGTGAGTGCACCCGTGTCATGCAAGGCTGCTGTCAGAAAAGGGCTTCAGATTCCCCTGGATCTGGAGTCAAGGACGGTTCTCAGCCGCCATGTGGGTGCTGGGAATCAAACCCAGGTCCTCTGCCAAGAGCAGTCAGTGCTCTTAACCGCTAAGCCATTTCTTCAGGCCACTATTCATTTTTTTTTTTAAAGTAAACAATACTTTGTTAGGGTTACATGAAGAGGTTATAGAACTGTTAAGATTAAGGATGAGGGATGATAGGAATTTTATCTCTGGGGTGGAGAGAAAAATGTGATTGGGGTTAAGCACTCAGGGGGCTTCCAAGGATACTGGTAATGCTTTATTCCTCAACGTGGAAGTGTAGATGCACATAAGGCAGCTGGCAAAACAAGTCTGGGCCCGTCACCCTTAGAAGACTTACTTGTAAGGCTGGCCCACGGCTGGATTGCAGGAGGGTTCCTGTCACTCTCAGAACCAGTAAGAGTGGCTCAGCATGTATGAACAACTGCATTCCCTTTGGAAACATGTTGCACAGGTGCTTGCATAACCAGCTTCCAGGAGAGTCCCTGGGCATGAGTCTCGGAGAGCTGCCTTGGTAGACAACCCTTCACACTGCTGTCACAGTTCGCCACTGGGGGAGTCAAGCAGGAGAGGCTCCTGGAAGCTTGTGCTTGGTTTTCTCTGGGCCACCCCATGTGCCTTTCCCTATGCAGATTCTGCTTCGTGTTTCACTATGCTATATCATAGCTATGTGATTATATGCTAAATCCTTACAAAACACCAAATATGAAAACCCACCCCACATAGAGCACACAATGACCTCCTTTCATTAAGCTGTAATCTGCTTTATACATTCTTTTGTACAGGCAGGTTTGATTATATAAGTGCTTAAAGGAAAATTACTAAAATCAATGTGAAAAGTAGCTGGGCATGGTGACACACGCCTGTAGTCCCAGCACTTGGGAGGCAGGGACAGGTGGATCTCTGTGAGTTCAAGGCCAGCCTGGTCTACAAAGTGAGTTCTAGGCCAGCTGGGGCTACAGGGAGACCCTGTCTCAAAAAGAAAAAAAAAAGAATCACTGATGATAAAATTACATGCTGAGTTTTCATGCTTTCTTACTGCATATATTTTATGCTTATAGCACCCTTGTTTTGTATTTGGTAGGTGTGTGTGCCCACAAGCCATTGCACTTACAGAAGTTGGAGGATAGAGGACAGAGTGTCGGACCTGGTTCTCTCCTTACACCACGTAGTTTCTAGGGATCTAACTCAGCTCTTTCCAGCTTGGTAGCAAATGTCTTTACTCACTGAACCATCTCCCTGACCCTCCGTTTTTGTTGTTTTCGAAAATGTCTTACTACATGGCCCTCAAACTCATGATCCTCCTGCCTCTGCCTTATGAATGCTGAGATTGCAGGTGTGAGCCACACCAGGCTATTATAGCATACCTTAACTAGACTAGCTACACCCAGTATCATCAGTTATGTGCCAGTCTCCAGCACACTGGACAGTAGAATTTTCTGCATTTTTTATAGCACACAAACCATAAACAAGTTGTACATTTATGCTAAGAGCTTAAAATTACATTTTAACTTCATGTATAACTTTCTGCTCTTCATGTTCTTTTAAGTCCAGGAGAGGGAAGATCGATAGTGGCCTAGAAATCATGACATGTCTATAGCAGGGTCATGACAAACAGAAGCTTAACTATAATATATTCTTACCTCTTTATTTTCTAAGTTACCAGTCAGGTCTTGTTTAAGTATTCTAGTTTGAATTTTGCTCTCTCTAGATTTTGCTGGCCGCTGTATTCTTCCTGACATCATTTTCATCTTAAGATCATTGGAATTCAGTGTATTCTTAGGCAAATCTTCAATCACTTTAACCAAAGGAGGAGGTGGCTAAAAGGGAAAAAAAAAAAGCTCTATATATCTATGTATCTATACATATCTGGCCCAGTGGATATGCTTGGGAGGGGGTCTATTAGTATACCATGCCCCAAATTTGCTTTAATAACCTGCTTTAATATGTACAATTATTCTTTATGCAAAAAGTCCGAGTAAAAATGTTTAAGAATGCTTTAGAATGTCGTGGATTAATAAAAATCAAAGCAAATTTCTGTCAAACTCCTTTGAAGAATAAACAAACAGTAATGGGAGCAAAGTGAGCAGAATTTACTCCCGAGCTTCAAATCACAGACTGCAGACCATGATGCACTTGTCCAAGGTCAGCATGGTGACGATGGCACAGAAGGCACAGCCGATGGATGCCCAGGAGAATGAACTGAGAGATGCCTCCCATCAGGCACGGCCTTGAGCACAAGTCCTCAGAGAGAAAGTGGTGTCCTTGACTCTGTGCTGTTTAAAGGCTGTGATCAGCACAGTGATAGTTATCTGTTCCTTACTGCACCAACCTCTTATGAGGTAGCTCAGGTACACAATTCAGAACTCAAGAACTCACTTTTAGGAGACCTGTCAAGTGGAGATATCTAACCTCAGTTTACCGAAGGTAAAATGACTCACTAGAAACCAAAAGATCTTCCTTATTCAAAGAAAGTGAGTAGACAGGTCACAAGGCTTTCTGAGTTCTAAGAACAAAGCCAGTGACCACTTCCATGAGTCAATTTTTCATCGATAGGATGGAATCAAAGTGGTTAGACTAAATTACAATTTTTAATAGCACTGAATTGTTTGTTCTCTAGCTTAAATCCATTCTTCTACATTTTTGCTAAAACCTGTATTCTAAGGCATTTTCTTTTGCTCGGGCCCCATCATTGGCCCGAAGCACACTTCCCCCTAAAGTTAGAGCTGGAGATGGAAATGTGACTTAATTTGACCTGCCTTTGTAGTGTTACAAGTCAACATGGAAGAATTCACTGTCTTCATTAGCATAGTATCAGACATTCTCTAAGACAAGAAAACACAGTAAAACCTGGAAGGGGACAGAAGTGAGTTGGGACTTATAGAGGATATGCCACTAGATAGCTATGCAGTCAGAAGAGCCATAGGACACTAGATAATGTACCCTAAAACTCAAAGATGGTCAACATCTGAGCTAGCTTTCCTTTCAGTGTCATCTCCATTTTCTCAACAGCTGACAGCACAAAGGAACTCAGTGACTCACTCCACCAGTTTTCCAAGATGTCTCCCTGCCTCTTTTAAGGTTTAGCTTGTATAAAATTGAATGACAAGGCTGAAGAGTCACAGCAAGAGCACTTAATGACTTTAAAATGATGTATGTTAAATGTAACAACATATAAAAGTATAGCTAGGCGTGGTGGCGCACACCTTTAATCCCAGCACTTGGGAGGCAGAGGCAGGCGGATCTCTGTGGGTTCAAGGCCAGCCTGGTCTACATAATGAGTTCCAGGCCAGCTGGGGCTACAGGGAAACCCTGCCTCAAAAAGACCAAAACAAAAACAAAAACAACCCCCCCAAAACAATATATAAAAGTAGACATCTATAGCATATAATGACATATTTTATAAATAGATATTATATACAACAGTAGAGTATAATCCTATATGAGAGAAAACACATGCACATAAACATATGCATAAAATCAAATACATTAGCTTATGCTTGCCATTTGAAGTAATTCTATAGAATTACTTCAATTACTTAATTGGTGGACATGGAGTCACTGATTCTAGGAAAAACAGAATTGAGTTCTGCGGGGCCTCATTCACAACATTTCATCAACTAACTGAGCAATATCTGACCTTACTTGAATATGTGCTTCTCCTTAAAGAAAACTTACTTATAATGTGCATTACTGACTTCCAAGTTAATAGCACTGTAACTCATGCTTAACTCATGCCTAAATGAGTTTAACACATTTTTTTCTCTATAAGGCACAGCACAGTCATCTGGTGCTTAGGAGTACAAGTAGTACTCAGACGTACACACAGTACTTCAGCACCATTCTTGGGGATCAGTATAAACAACAAAATCACAACAAAAGCCCCAAAATGTAAAATGCAAAATGCATGTCTCCAAAAAGACCATGAAAAGATACATGGATTGCAGTACGAGAACTAAAACAAGGAAGCAAAGTGCTGCCTTGCTCAACTTTAGCTGGGACCAAGCACATAAATGAATCTGGAATAAACATGGTAAGGAAGCCACTAAATAGCATTATTTAAGAAAAGATGGGGAGAGACCGGAGAGATGGCGTAGCAGGTAGAGGCAACTGCATGCGGGCTTAATGACTTAACTTCTATTCCCAGATCCCACATGATGGCAGGAGAGGACTGACTCTGGAAAGTTGTCCTCTGACCTTAACACATGTACACACACACACACACACACACACACACACACACAAACAAGAAAATGAATAAATGATGACAGAAGATGGACTGGTGGGCACAGGGGGTAGGTACTGAAGACTGAGTTTCAGTTATTTGCTTCTAACCTATGAGATGGGAACAAAAAACAAGATAGAAATGAAGAAACAGGGATCAAAGACTTCTCTTGAGAAAGAGATAGTGAATGACACTGAATGAGCCAGGGCACCAAGCTCTGATGTGCTTTAGGAAGGCAGCAACTTAAGACAGGAATAGAGGGGAGAAATCACAGCCAAAAATGCAACTCTTACAGAGCAAAAGAATATATCCAGAAAAACAGGCAAGTTCCAAGGAAGTTAGAAAACAGCAGAGAATAAAGATTTTATTCATGGTGATACAATACTGAAATGCTCTTAAAAAGTGATGCTGTTTGCTTGATAACAAACCTTATTTATTTCCTGCATTAAAGCCTGAACTGAATATATGTTCAGACTTCCATTTTCCATAACAGATGCAATGTACCGACCATGTGGGCTGATTACTGATGAGCTGATTCCTTCATCAAGACTCCCAATTTCAAAGAGAAGTTTACAAGTCTGTATATTGACAAATCTCATAATACCATCTTGACTTAGCACTCCAAGAACCTAAGAATAGAGAGAAACAATGACTCCTTAATATTGAAAGTCTGATGTCTGAAAGCCAAAATATATACATACAGGTAGACTATGTATATGTATACTTATAAACTTGCAATGTAAGCATGTTATAAAGTAATTATTACATTGTTTAACGTTTTATATAATTTTTTAAGGCTGCAGTTCATTTCCCAGAGAGCCATTACACATTTTTTTATCTTTTTAAAAAAATTTTTTTAAATTTAGTAACCACATGATTAGAAGAAGCATTTCATTATACCGCTAACACATTCAGTAACACATTCCAGAGCAAGGATACATCTCTTTCAAAACTGGCTGTAAAGTTTTGTGTTCACAGTTGAATTAATAGTTAAACAATATTGAACTCAGTATAAACCCTGTAAGACATAAAATTGAATGACTTTTTACCCTTTAAAGAAGATCTCCATTTCAAGATGTGCTGTTTCCTACATTTTTAATGCTACTAACACTTATATGTTTGCACATGTGTCTTTAATGTCTATATATCTGATGATTACTAGTCACAGTCAGTTACACTTGCATCCTTAGTACCTGAGTATGGATATAAAGTCATCAGGTAGATTTCACTGGTAATGTTTACCACCTCTACTATTTAACATGACATAAATCTTTAAAAAATTTTTAAATAACTACATGATTAGAAGCATTTCATTATAGCTTTAACATATTCAGTAACACACTCCAGAGCAAGAGTACATCTCCTTCACAAGTGGTTGTTAAGTTTCTAGATTCACAGCTGAATTAATAGTTATACAATATTGAACTCAGAATAAGCCCTGTAAGACATAAAATTGAATGAGTTTTTAACCTTTAAAAAAGATCTCCATTTCATTTTAGAATATATTGTTCCTTGCAGAAAGACTCATTGTGCTACTAAAATTGAGATGTTGGCGCTTGCATCTCTAATCTGTATGTATCAGATTATTACTAGTCATAATTGGTTGCACTTGGATCCTAGGCGCCTCTGTATGTCTATAAAGCCATCGGGTAGATTTCAACGGTAATGTTTATCACCTCTACTAATTAACATGATGTAAATTTCCATGTTTCCTCCTCGAATAGAACACATTTTTAAAAATTTGTTGATTTTGTGTGTGTATCACACAGAACATCCCAAAACATCTTATTCAACTATACACCCACTTCCCTGATGGCACCCTCCCATAGCCTCCCTCCCCCG